CTCTCGACCATGCCGAAGAGGCCTTCTCGCAGGTTATGCGCATGTCTCCCGAATTTGAGAAGGCGAATGAGATCTACTTCCGTCTCGGCATAATATACAAGCAACAGCAGAAGTTCAGGGAGAGTCTGGAGGTATGTAAAGGTCTACTGCATAGTTGGGATTGTGTCTAATTTCTATACAGTGCTTTAAGTACATTGTTGGCGACCCTCCGCGCCCCCTGACTGAGGAAGATATCTGGTTCCAGATTGGTCACGTTCACGAGCAACAGAAGGACGTAAGTTATTGTACTCACATCTTCATGCTTCATTGTACTGACTCAAGCTTCAGTTCGACTCAGCTCAAGCCGCTTATCAACGCGTTCTTGATCGCGATCCTAACCACGCCAAGGTTCTCCAGCAGCTTGGATGGCTCTACCACCAGCAGAGCAGCGCCTTCCAAAGCCAGGAGAAGGCCATCCAATTCCTGGAGAAGTCTGTCAATGCTGGTGAGCACATATCAAATCATCGTATATTTTTGATACTAATTGATCCTCTTGCTAGATAACAACGATGCTCAAAGTTGGTACCTTCTTGGTCGCTGCTACATGTCGATGCAGAAATACCCCAAGGCATACGAGGCCTACCAGCAGGCAGTCTATCGCGACGGTCGCAACCCTACCTTCTGGTGCTCGATCGGTGTCCTCTACTACCAGATCAACCAATACCGTGACGCCCTCGATGCCTACTCCCGTGCCATCCGTCTGAACCCCTACATCTCCGAGGTTTGGTACGATCTAGGCACATTGTACGAATCTTGCAACAATCAGATCGCCGATGCTCTTGACGCCTACGGACGCGCCGCGGATCTTGACCCGTCCAATGTCCACATCAAGGCTCGCTTGCAATTGCTCCAGAGCCAATTGTCGGGCTCGGCTCAGCAGAACAACGCTCCCGCTCCTCAGCCCCAGGACGTCCATCCCCAGGCTTACCAGGCACCTGGTGTTGGCCAGCCTCCCGCGCCTCAGTGGGGTGCCGCAGCTCCTCCCCCGGCCCCGATCGGTCCCCCGCCCCAGGCTCCTGCTCCTCCCCGACAGATTCCCGACTGGAACCGTGGAATCAACGAGCTGGGATCCCAGGCCCAAGCTCCCACCGCCAACGGCATCGACCCTCGTGATGCTCGGATCCCTGGCGCTCCCGCGCAGAGTCCTCGTCAGGAGCCTGGTCGCGCATTCCCCGATCCTCGCGGTGCACCCCGCTCGCCAAACATGGGCGATCCCAATGCCTACCCGGCGCAACACACTCTTCCTCAAATCGGAAATCCATCTGGCCCGGGCCATGAACGTGCCCCCAGTGGCGGAAATGCCTTTGGTGCTGGCCGCGGAGGTCTGCCTCCTGCCCCTGCTGGTCCTCCCGGGCCTCCTGGTCCCCCTGGTCCGAATGGTAATGCTGCTCCTCCACCTCCCTACCAGGGACGTCCATTCACTCCTCCGACTGAAATCCGTCCTATTCGCGATGCTTCCCCGGCATCGACCTACCCCGGCCGGCAGTACCACCCCGGACCTACCCTTCCTCCCTCCGCTCCGGGTCCTAACTCCACCGGCATCGCCTCTGGTGCCCCGGCTCCTGCCTCTGCAGCCACCGCAGCTGACGCTGCCGCTCGTGATCGCGAAGATCGTCCTACATCTGCGATGAAGCGCGGTCGCGAGTGGGAAGCGGACGGCCCTGTGAAGAAGCTCGCTAACGAGGAGAGCCGTGCCCGTCTGGATGACCAGAACACCCGCCGCGCCAGTCCGCCCGCTCGTATGCCTTCTCCTGGTGAGATGCAACGACGCAGCTCTTCCGAGGCCCGTCGCGAGGATGCCCGTCGCGCCAACGAGAACTATCACCCCTCGGAAGCTGCGCACCACCCTCCTACTCTGCCTTCAATTCAAGACATGCCACCCCACGCTTCTAGCGGCCCCAGTCTTCCCCCAATGACTGAGGGCTCCGCTCCCCCCGCGTCCAACGGACCGCCCTCCGTTCCTCCTTCCGCCAACACCCCAGTCAAGGAAGAGCCCTCTCGTCCCGAGGCCCCTCCCGCTCACGAGCCACCGGCGCGCAAGATGGACGTCGATGAGGACTACGACGACGACGTGGAGGAAGAGAAGAAGGCCACTGCATCCAAGGGCAGCCCAAATGGCAGCGCTGCTGGCAACCCGGCTAACGGCACTGCCCGCCCAGGCACACCCTCCAAGGTCGAGACCGCTTAAAAGTCTTTCTTATCCAGGCCACATACGATATTGTCCTACCCAAACCAATTCCCCCCTCGCTCTCTTTCTCCTCAATGTCCTTCTTATTTCTAGTGTGTGATGTACGGTATGAATGTGCGAGTTACGATGACTAGCTTCGAGCGCGTGCGCTGTGGTCTTGTCTGTTCGTTCTCTTCTCTTATGATTTCTTAGTCTCCTTTCTTTGTGATTACTTATGGTGTGTGAGGCATCTTGGCAAATCTTTTTTTTTCGATACTCTTGGATTCAGCAGATTTAAATGAACGTATCTTATATGTATTGATTCCGATAGAGCAAGAAAAAGTAAGCCGGCCAAATTTGAAAGTCATGCTGTAGTCGCAATTGCCGTGTAAGATAACTTTGGTCCACTATGTACAAGCAGTTCACACCGTTTGCCTTGGCACTCAACAGAGACCCATCAAATCCAGGGGAAAATGTGGGAGTGGCACGTGATCCAGGGCTGGAGTCGCTGCTTAGATAATTTCAAGTGATTGTGGGGTGCCTCAGGTGGTAACACTAAGCCCAGATAGGCCATACTCACGCCAAGAGTCTCGCTTAGGTTAGCCCACACACCAAGCGTGCAAAATCAACTTCGACACTTTCAGATCGTCACTCCCACCACCTCGACGACTAACGACACCAGGGTCAAGATGTGAGTCTATCCCTCCTAATATCGACTGTGAATGCAATTCTGACCTGCTTTCGTCTTTCAGGAGTCACCGCAAGTTCGAAGCGCCCCGGCACGGTTCGTAATCAACCTTTTCCTCGATGTCGAAATCTCGAAAATTCGGCCTCAATTCTGTGTGCGATAACTAACACTCTATTCAGGCTCCCTTGCCTACCTCCCGCGCAAGCGCGCTGCCCGTCACCGTGGTAAGGTGAAGAGGTCAGTCATTTCTGGAGTTGGAGAGATTTTGTGTGGATTTGTGTGCTGAGACTTTTGCGACAGCTTCCCCAAGGATGACCCCAAGAAGCCCGTCCACCTTACTGCCTCCATGGGCTACAAGGCCGGTATGACCACCGTTGTCCGTGACCTTGACCGTCCCGGTGCCAAGATGCACAAGAAGGAGATCGTCGAGGCCGTCACCGTCATCGAGACCCCTCCTGTAGGTTTTTCCCGTGAAAAAAAAAAATTTTGAACGACAAACTAACCAGCTACTCCTTTTTAGCTCGTTGCCGTTGGTGTCGTTGGCTACATCGAGACTCCCCGTGGTCTCCGCTCGCTCACCACCGTCTGGGCTGAGCACCTGAGCGACGAGGTCAAGCGTCGCTTCTACAAGAACTGGTACAAGTCCAAGAAGAAGGCCTTCACCAAGTACGCCAAGTCCCACGCCGAGTCCTCCGGTGCCTCCATCACTCGCGAGCTTGAGCGCATCCAGAAGTACTGCACTGTCGTCCGTGTCCTCGCCCACACCCAGATCCGCCAGACCCCCATCAAGCAGAAGAAGGCCCACCTCATGGAGATCCAGGTTAACGGTGGTTCCGTTTCCGACAAGGTTGACTTCGCCCGCAACCTCTTCGAGAAGACCATCGACATCGACTCCATCTTCGAGAAGGACGAGATGATTGATGTCATCGCCGTCACCAAGGGTCACGGTTTCACCGGTGTCACCTCCCGTTGGGGTACCACCAAGCTGCCCCGTAAGACCCACAAGGGTCTGCGTAAGGTCGCCTGTATTGGTGCCTGGCACCCTAACCACGTCCAGTGGACTGTCGCCCGTGCTGGTCAGAGTGGTTACCACCACCGTACCTCTTGCAACCACAAGGTCTTCCGCATTGGCAAGGGCTCCGACGAGGGCAACGCCTCCACCGAGTTCGACATCTCCAAGAAGCAGATCACCCCGTATGTTTTCCTTGCATTGTTTTTTCCGTTGATTGATTTGACTAACTGTTTTTCAGCATGGGTGGCTTTGTTCACTACGGTGAGGTCAAGAACGACTTCGTCATGGTCAAGGGCTCCGTTCCCGGTGTTAAGAAGCGTGTCATGACTCTGCGCAAGACCCTCTACCCCCAGACCAGCCGCAGGGCTACCGAGAAGGTCGACCTCAAGTGGATCGATACCTCCTCCAAGTTCGGTCACGGTGCTTTCCAGACCTTCGAGGAGAAGAAGGCCTTCATGGGTACCCTCAAGAAGGACCTTATCGAGACTGTTTAAGATGTTCCAGGCTATGGTTGGTGATAGTTCAACGTTTCCTATTCAATAAAAAAGCGAATACCTTCACAATTTATTGGTGTAGACCTATTCTCGTAGATGGATCAAAGTCCATATTAAGATATGTCAGGATAACAGTGCAGAATATTGAAATTTATATTTGTATATTTTGAAAATTCCGTCAAATTGTTATCTTACATCGTGCTATGTTGGTGAATATATCTTCACAGTGCGGGAGGACAACGTTATATATTTCTGGTTCAAGTATGTTGTAAGCAACCGAAAATACATATAATTGTCCATTACCCGGTTAATCTCTACATACATTTGACGCCAAACCCCAATCTATCTCTGTTCTCCCTGTTCACAATCAAATCCAAGCCTGACAGGTGAAACGCCATGCGATCCAAGATCCATTGCGTCATCCCACACGTTTCCCCAACTCGCGCAAATAATCGCCCTCTCCAAATCGCAACTCAAAGTCGTCTCCTCCATCCTTCTTCTCGACTCAGAGCCCAACTGTACCAAACAAACCACCTCCCTTCAAACCCAAGACTACGACTTCTTCCCTCCCGATCTACCTCCTTCTCAACCTTCTCAACCATGTCCTCCGACGACGCCTATATGGCGTTCCTGAACAAGGCCAATGCAGACTCCAGCGAGGGCCAAGCCCAAACCACGCAAGAATCCTCCGACATTCTGCGCACCAAGACAGTCGACAGCTCCCTCTCCATCCCCAAACCCCTCAAGAATATCGACGCCTACTACGTCTCCGACACAGATGAGCCCTTTGACCCCGTGGTGCTGAAGTGGGATGCCGCAAAGGATGATACCTGGCCGAGTATTGGTACGTTTACATCACTTCCCCACATGGCCATACCCAGCTACCTACACGTAAACCCTCATGCTCACGCTCATGTTCACTCGCAAATGCGCCATCTACCCCAAATCCATAACCACAAACAAGCTAACTAACCTCTCACCGCTCCTCTTCTAGCCGAACTCGCCAGCCTAATATCCGAATCAAATGACCTCTCCCGCTCTATCGAATCTCTCCCGCTCACCTCCTTCGACCCCAAAGATCAATACCCCGAGGTGCTCGGCGCTGTGCGCGCCGCTGCTGCGGAGAATAACCCTGATGCCACGCAGGAAGCTGTGGAGTTGAAGGTTTACCGTATTGAGATTACGACTACTCGCATTGAGTACTGGATTCTGGCTCTTCACGCGCCTGAGAAGAAGATTGTCGGATTGCGGGCTAAGGCTGTTGAGTCGTAGATTATGGAGTACTGCAGCAGCACTGCGACGCGATGAGGGGATGAATACGAATTCAGATGGCAATCGAAATGGAATGGGTGTCTGTGATTTGATCCTTGATGTGGAAATGAAATGCTTTAGCATGTTTTGCCTTTCATACCCTGTTCCTGCTAGGCAGTTATCCCTACGAGAATACAATGAGGATATGTGGTTTTTATCACGTATGCAGGCAGTGTTCTGTGTAAGAAGCTGTGGATATTACTTGCTACAGAGTACTTGACACTTGCTGGAACGGAATGGAGGGGACTTGCCCTTGACAGCTTGTCCGGGATGCATTCTTAAGCCTTGGACGTTGGGGTTTGAGATTTCTCGGGACGCGTGTACGGGAATGGCCGAAGATCTTTATTTTTGCTGGCTGTGGGTGAATTAGAGGTGAATTTCACCGATATTGGCTAGTTGAGGGTATCTGTCGGTGGTTATATCTGTTGAGGTAGGGTGGTAAGTTAGCGTAACCCTCGGCGGATGGCTTACCCGCGTGTTCGCTCTTGGCTTTGACAACACTCTTAAGTATACACTCAACTTCAGGCTTTACTGCCCTTTCCTTACTATTTTTGTACTTGATGCTTTACAAGTGACAATGCTGATCCTTGGATTCCGGCCAGCATTCATGGTCGACCATTCCTTGCCCTGGGCAACGGGAATGTCGCGCCCTCAACACCCTGGCCCTACCTAGGGCGGTTGAAGACTAGATGATATCTGGCACCAAAAGCACGACCAATACATCTGCATGGATGATTCAGACAAAATTAAGACAGTATAACAGTTCAGCAGGCTATCCAGCTGAACACAGAACAAACTATACATGATCTACAGTCCCAAACACCGAGAGGCATAGACATACCACAGGTTACCCCCCTTGGACCTCTGTCATTCCAGTCTCTTCGTGCATCCAAACAAGAACCTCGGAGCATCTAGGCACTTCTTTTCTTCCGTGGCTCTGGCATCTTTCCTCCGCTGGTCTCTGTTTGTCTCTTCATCACGTCGCCCAGGGACATTGGATGCCATCCGATTTGTCCTGTCCGTTCTTTCGGCGAACCTCGCACTTCTCAACTGTGCAGTCTACATCTCAGGTCTTCAGTCCTTACCGGGTTCAGATATACAAGAGCGTCGTCGACAGACAAACCGGAAGGAAAATAACAAACAACACGTCTCGACCTCACCACTTAATCACGGAACCCACCAACGACTGATGCAATAGACCTGCTCGTGCGGTGGAGACTGACGGAAGAAGAGAGTATTATCTCGGTGCAGAGAATCAGGACCATATAAAAGATCACCCAAGCAGGGATTTGGAGTTTGGAACAGGTCATCCGATGTCAGACCACGGCTCTGATATTTCAGAGGAAAGAGCTATGCCTCACATCCGACTCAACTCGGGCCGACAGGACCCCTTCATTGATACGGATGAGGGCTACGCGCCTCTGACATCGCGAACATTTCCGCGTCCTCTGACGCCACAGGGCCCCGAACCTCCCGTGATAGGCGCTCAAGGAGCCTCTCCGTATGGAGTATCAAATGCACCCGAGTCATCGGAGTTCCTGTTGCCCCCGAAGCTGCGTCCGACGCAGGGAGTCACGAGTGAGTCTGACCGGCCGCGGTCTCCGGATCGCTGGTCTGCGGCTCGGTCGAGTGTTAGCTCGCTCAGTCGCGAGAGTACGTTCCCTCTGGATCCATTCCAGGATTCCAGGGCACCTTCCAGGTCTGAGAGTGATGAGCATGATGTCAATACGCAGACTGTCTCCGAGAAATTCAATATCATGCCTACTGATGGGCTTTTGTTGTTCCCTGAGGATGTTGAGAAGGATGATTACATGCATAACCCCGATCCTATGGATCAGGATCGGGACTGTGATATGTGCAATCGTCGGGGTATCTTGAATATGGGTGGATTGGCTGTGTTGACGTTAGGTATCTTGGTGCTGTTCATTGGATATCCTGTCATGTAAGTTTTGTGCAAGCGTTGGTTGCTCTCACGCTGACCTGTGAATACAGAACTTGGCTAGAAGGCATTATGAAACCGAAAAGTGTATGCCATGCCGGTGACACACTCTGCCTTGACGTTGGGGAGAGGGAACTGTTGGGCAATATCCGACAGGGTTTGATCGATCCGGACACACCAAAAGAGGCACTCACCAAAAAGAACATCAATGGCAAGGAGATGAAGCTAGTGGTGAGTGGTCGTACAATTCTGCACAAAAGGAACTGACTGACATCGATGTAGTTCTCCGACGAATTCAATATGCCTGGCCGAACCTTCTTCGAAGATGACGACCCCTTCTTCCAAGCAGTTGACCTGTGGTACGGAGTAACCGCTGACAAGGAATGGTACGACCCAGACGCCGTGACAACAGCGGAGGGAACACTGCAGCTCCGATTCGACCACTTTGAGAACCACGACCTCCAATACAGATCCGGCATGGTTCAGAGCTGGAACAAGCTCTGCTTCAAGGGAGGCCGTCTGGAAGCTAGCATGTCCCTCCCCGGTGATGGCCATATCCAGGGTTTCTGGCCTGGTTTCTGGGCAATGGGTAACTTGGCGCGTCCTGGTTACGCCGCTACCACTGATGGTCTATGGCCATACAGCTATCATGATGGCTGCGATGCCGGCATTACTCCCAACCAGAGCTCGCCTGATGGTCTGAATTGGTTGCCTGGCATGCGTTTGCCTGGATGTGCTTGCCCTGGATCTGATCATCCTTCTCCTGGCCGCGCTCGTAGTGCTCCTGAAATTGATGTTATCGAAGGCAGTACTGCACCACTGTATGGTGACAGTGGTCCTTTCGTTGGTAGTGCCTCGCAGAGTTTGCAGACTGCACCATTTGATCTGTGGTATCTCCCAGACTATGGTAAGTAGATAACCCCCCATCTCACGTACCAAATCGCTCACATCAAATTTACAGACTTCGCCGCCGTTTACGACCCACGCGTAACTGAAATCAACTCCTACCGCGGTGGCGTCTACCAACAAGCCATGTCCGGCCTAACAAACCTGAACACGCGCTGGTACAACGGCACCGAATACCAGACCTATTCCTTCGAATATACACCTGGTGCAGAAGGAAACGTGACATGGTTTGTCGGCACCGAGAAGACGTGGACACTCGACGGCCGCGCCATCGGACCAAATGGTAACGTCGGCCAACGCATGATCCCACTGGAACCCATGGCGCTAGTCATGAACATGGGTATGGCAGACAACTTCGCACCACAAAACAAGTCCATTCGCGAGTATATGCCTGCCTTCCTGCGCTTTGACTATGTCCGTATTTATCAGGACCCCGATGACGAGAGTGTTACCTGTGACCCCCCTGGATGGGAGACGACGCAATATATTAAGGACCATCCCAATGCGTACGCCAACCAGAACTTTACAACTTGGTAAGTTTCTCTCCCTGTGGGATTTGTGTCTTCAGAGTATTTACTAATGCTTTTTCTCTTCTCTTGCAGGGAAGCTGCTGGTTACCACTGGCCCAAGAACTCCTTTATGCACGACTGTGCGGCTACATAGACTACTCTCTCTACTCTCTTTTCCTTTTCTTCTTGCTTCATTCTAATCTGTCAGTCGTTTTAGCGGCATTGTGTTTTGGCGTTGTCGGGGGTCTGTCTGGGCATTCGTTACATTACATTTACTTCTTGGATCTATCGATGAATCCAATCATTCAGCCCTTTTCACTACTGTAGCATCTCCACGTAGATACAGCTTACATAGACCATTAGGGGACCTGAAACCTAGTTAGCACGTAGTAAAACCACTAGCCTAAAACATTCCAAAACCGTCGACAAAGTGGCACGGAGTGGTTAAGAAGTAGAAAGACGGAGCCCTATATTGCACTAACCCAATTAGGGGGGTTCAACCCACCTACACTGCCAACAACTGCCACTATTCACCGCTTCCCACATCCAGACAAATGGTCAACGCCGCCAAGAGCTAAGAGTAGCCTCGTCGCCATCCTGACCGCCCTGCCCATCACCTCGTTTGTGAATTCTTCTCGATAAACGAGGATTAGAGAGGTTATATAACAAAATCCTGCTACTCCCCAAACCTGTGAGACGAACCATAGTCACTGCCTCTGCCAATATCGCTTTCGCATGAACTAACTGGTGCTATAGATCATCTGGGGGCCATAATCCAATCTGATGTCCATTGAATCCACTGGAATCACCTTCCCAAGACTTCAATTTGGCATAGAGATCCCTGCGTAGTCTTGGAAATACATGCTCTCTTCAGTCAGCCATAGTCACTGCCATTGTCAAGCGTGACTCGCGTCTACTCAGTGTCGAGTTGACCTCAGCACCTCAGCATCTATCGTGCCTCAAGCTACCTCACAGAGGAAGCGCTGAGTGCCCTTTTTCTTCTAATTCTTACTGGAATTCTGATTCTTCTTCATTGAATCTCTCTCAACACCATCGCTATCATCATGCCTGACACCAATACGTTCATCTCGTCGGAATCTGAATCCGAGTCTGATGGTGGCATGCAGCTTGATCCCCGAGACGATGGCATCGACATCATGAGATATGGAGAAGAAGAACTCGACGAGGGTATGTTCTTTCTTTTCAATTATCTTCTTCGAACTGCTTTCGGTCCCCCTGCCGGTTTGTTTATGCTAGATCCTGATCCCTTCTCTCCCAAATAACAGACCCCCGTTAAGCAGAGCTCCATTCAACTGAATGAACTAACTAACAAACCCAATCAGACTCATTCTCCTTCAATGCCCCAGACCCCATGTCCCTATCCTACGACCAAACAAACACTGTCCAGCATATCGGTCCCGACAACTCAGTTCAAACACCAACAGAGTTCGAACGGGATCTGCGCTCGCGCTCGCATCTTCGTGATGAGAAGCATGCCGCCTTGTCTGTTCTTTTGGATCGGGAGTTACTTGTTACATATGCACTTGCTGCGAGAGAGGTACGTACAAACTTCAATCACCGCCTTCAATTTGATATCCGTCACAGAT